AGCAGCTGATCTGAAGTAAAATTAAGTGAAATTCCTGCATGTCCACATATTCAACAATAAATTGCAAATAGATTAAAAATATAAATTTAAGAATTTATTGTAAGCAAAGATTCCTATTTGTATATTATTTGGGTGAGGAAGATCATCTAAGTGAGAAACTCCAGAAATAATAAAGAAAAATGGCATCCTATATAAACATAAAATTTTAATGTCTGGCCAAATTTAGCATAACAATTAAAAGAAATATTATACTGAGATAAAGGTACCTGCAACATACATTTGCAAATTTTTAATAAATTCAGTATATAGCATGTGCCAGGTAGTCTTCAAAATACAATACATCTATTATTTCATCTAGCTTTTAAGACAACCTATGAAATATATATATTTACTTTGCCATTTTATAGACAAGGAAATTAAGGCACAGATAGGTTAAATAAACTATGTAATGCTGCAAATCTAGTAAGGAAGGACAGAGTAAAAATTGAACATCAGGCCGTCTGGCTCCCAGGTGAATGCATTCAAACACTATAAAATATTGCTTGAAGTTGATAGGAAAAGACAAAAAGCCTAGTAAGAAAAAAAAATGAACAAAATATGTAAATGTGCTAGCCACAGAAAATGTAAGAATGAATGTAAGACCATTTACATGGGAAAAGATGCTCAGGAATGCTAGTAGTTAGAGAAATACAAACTTTAAACCACAAGGGAATACCGTTTTCATCCATCAAATTGGCAATAATTGAGAATTTATATTGTCCTGTTTTGGTAAGGATATGGAAAAATGGGAATTTTTTTGCTTTACTAGTATGAATATGAATGACGACTATTTTTGGAAAGTATTTTTAAAAAATCTATTGAAATTATTAGTACACATACTCATGGATTTGGTCATTAATATTTAAAACTTCTTTCTTGTAAAATGTTAACACTCATAGAAAGGAGTATATAAACATAAACATAAAGCATAAAAATTATTATAAAGCAAACAATTGCGTACTTACCAGGTGAAAACGTAAATCATTTTCAGAAGCTTCTTTTGTAACTCCTTTCAATAAAATATTTTTATTTCCCCCCTTTTACCATTCTCCTAATCTTCCTTCAGTTTTCTTTACAATGTTGTCCTTTATATAATGAAATAAATATTACAGTGTTGATTTTCTGTGTCTGGATTAACAGTGTGCTTTGTGAGATCACCTATATTGTGCATATAGCTGAAGTTTGTTTATTTTCATTTTCATAATGTTAACAATGGGTCTTAGGCACAACTAGACAGAGACACATGATTACACTAAGCTACAATCACCATTGACATCATCCCTTGGCCCCTTAGCAGGACTCACCACAAGAAACTCATCAGCCCAGCAGAGTGACAGTTGTTCACTTTCTGAAAATGGCCTCGTAGCAGCCCACAGAACAGACAGGAACAGGGGCTAGTCTTCTTTAGGACTCCTGAATGACTGCTCCTGGGTGAAGAGAAGACTCAGAGACCCGGACACAAAGGATACCCAGGCTTAGCTTCTTCCTGTTCCAAAGTTGAACCAAAAACTTTTTAAAAAAACAGATTTATGGATTCCAGCAAAGGACATGCATTCTGGGAAACCCAAGGGCTCTCCTCCTGTAGTAGTTATAGTTTATTTACAGCCTTCCTAGTCCAGATGTAGTGTACCCATCAGATCATTTATACCATAAGCAATGGTTTCAATAACACAGCTGCCATCCAATTTCATTGGGTTTTATGGGAATGAAATGAGAAAACTAAACCAAGATCAAATTTGTCCATAGAAAAAGAGACTATTTTTGTTCACCCTTTATTCACAGAGATAACCACGCTTTTTCCCCCCCATGAGTTAGAGAATTGATTTGATTCCAGATTTTAGCCCTTATGAAAGTGTTGCTGTGAGCTTTTCTGTACCTGTCCCCTGGTGAACACTTACACATATTTCCTTTGGATATGTATTCAGCAGTAGGATTGCTAAGTGAAGGGGCATGTCTCTTTTTAGTCTTGGTAGGTAACGCTCAACTGATTACCAAGGTGGATGTACCAATTTACACCTCCACAAGCAGCTCTGAGAGCTTCTACTGCTCTACATCCTCTTTAATTCCTGGGATTGCCATTTTTTAAATGTTAGATGGATATGTAGTAGCATCTCACTGTGATTTTAATTTAGATTTCCTTATTTATGATGTTAACAATTGTTTCACATATATAGGTGACTTGGATATCTTCTTTTGTTAATTGCCTATTTAAGTCTCTTCTCCATGTTTCTATCATTTGGTAGTTCTTTGTATATTCTGGATATGAGCCTTTGTCCATTGCGTGTGTTGAAAATATGTTCTATCACTTGAAGTTTTGTCTTTCATTCTATACTTGTTTTGCATAAATATATTTACAAGCAGAGTTGGTAATCAAAATATTTAACTATTGATGTAGTGTGGTAATTAATTAATCAGAATAGTACACACCTGTTTAATATCAGGCCCTTTTTAAAAATTACGGCATCAGCCAGCGTAGCCAAAATTATACAGTAAATAACAGGAAATGCCAACCAATAAACCAATTATTGGGTTTGCTGTGCACATCAATATTACTACATATTAGGGTCAGTTGGACTTGAAGAATGGGGGAAAAATTGGGACAACTGTAATAACATAAACAATAAAACATTAAAAAAATGTGCTTTATTCTTCCAAGTCATTCCTTTCAATGACTCCAAAATTATTTGACCACACCAATAAACAACTCTTTGGTTCTACTACCTCGTCACTATTTCTCTGATGTCACTTTGGATCCCATGCCCATCTTGTATTTTGTGGTACATTATTATAATCAGTCTACTTATTATCTAGCATATACACTCAATTTATTTGTGTCATGTCTCTTTGAAATACTTGTGTACTCTATACTTTCCCCATGGGATCCTTTTTATTCATGAGTCTTTAAATTATGCTAATGACTTAAATAATCATTAAAAAATGACATACCAAGCCTGACATTTTTTTTTCTGAAATTAAACTCATATATCCATCTGCCTACTCATGGATGTCCATGGTCATCTCAAATACAACATGTCCAATGCTGAACTTACCCTCTACCCTCACCCCAGATCTGCTCCTGTAGTAATCATTCCTACCTCAGGAAATGGCTGTTCCATCGTTCCAGTTATTCAGTTCAATAATAATTCCTTTGTCCTCCTCACACTTACTTTCTAATTAATTAGGCAGTCTGGGTAGAGCTAATGTCAAAATCTATCCAATATTCACACTCTTTGCTTGCATTGCTATAACCCTGATGCAAGCCACCATTTCCTCTCACCTAAGCATGTATGCTCCTCCCCTTGCTACATCTTACGTCTACACACTTCAGCTCTCACCCCAGCATCAGGATGGTCATGTTAAAACTTAAATTAACTCATGCCACATCTCTTATCAAAACCCTGCAATAATTTTCTGATGCGTGGCGTGTGGGGGAGCGCTGCCACTGGTTACCACTTGTCCCCGGTAAGGCCAACAACTGCTGCAGGGTTCGGAGCATGTTGCGGGGAGTGGGGGCACTCTGGGATCTGAGGGTTACTGTCCGGGGCCAGCTGAGATGGGACCGAGGACTCTGAATCCTGCAGAGCCCGTCTGGGGGGTGTCACGGATGGGGAGAATAAACACCAGTCGTAGCAAACACTTCTCTGTTTGCTGGGAGAGGGGACGTGGCACATCCCTCTAGTGGGGAAGGCCCAGAACCCCTTTGTTCAAAGGTTTTTATTGAAAGGGTTATCAGAGGGACTAGGTAACAGGAATGCACAGGTTATCTCATTGCATCAGTATGTTAGCGTTCACAGAGAATGGTGATGTTTTGAAGAAAACAAATGTCAGGAACACACTGATATACATGGGTCTGAGAAGAGACTAGTAAACAAGAGAGAGGACTAAATATGAGAGCATAGTAAACATAAGAGTGTCTAAGGGTATAGTTAGGGTCTGTGAATAATGTAAATTTCCTTCCCAGCATAAACTGATTATAGCTCCTGAGAGAAAAACGAAGCACACTTGAAAGAATTTACTTTTAGGCTTGATTTCCCTGGGAAGCGCCAGATCTGGTTTAGGGCTGTCTCTGGTATTGCTTCGAGCCTGAGCCAGGTGCGGGGAGGGAGCTGCCAAGAGACAAGGAGACTGCTTTCGGATAGAATGAGGACTCTGGCCATGTCCAACTGAGCGGAGGGGTGCGGGCCTTTTTGCCCTTCCTCCATGTCCCCCATGCCCACATCTGCTGCCCATACCAGCCAATGTCTGTCTTAGGTTGTTTTTCTTCTCATGAGAAAGACTTACCCGTCATGGATCACTGACCATCAAAGGGTCAAGCAGGGTGCAAGGTGGACAGGGGATGTACCCCTGCCGGGGGGGGGGGGACAGGTTTTGTTTCTTCAGGAGCCTGTTTTCTCCAAGGTCTCCCTGATTATTTCCAGCCTTGGGGCCCTCCCGCCTGTCAGCGGGGTTACAGTTCCTGAAGCCAGACAGGGCGCTTCCCAACAGCTTTCCATCTCATCCAGAGATCATCTGGCTATTTGTCAGCTCTCTGGCCTCACCACATACATCTTTCTTCCCCTGCCCACTTTAGCCAAGTTTAGTCTGATTCTGCTCATATTCAGGGATAAAGGTTTACCTTAAGTTGAACCAACATTGACATATGTGAGGAGATAAATCATATTTTACCTATGGAGAAAGCATATACTAATAAGATTTCTGGCATAATTTCAGGAACTTTTTTTTCAGAGGCTACAAAGTTCTTCAACATCATGAGAATTCTGTTTTTTAATCCAAATATGCTAAGTATGATAAGATCAATCTAGGAGGACTGTATATATATTTTTTGCAATTTTACTGATTTGTTTTTTGTGTGTAAAACATTCGTATAAGGTAATTAAAAAAAAATAGTTACACTTAACCACCAAAGGTTGATTAATTAAAATTTGGAATTGATAGCTATAATCATTGATTTTTTTGTTTAGGCCACCATTTTCAATCACAAAAGAATTCATCTTGAGATTCAACCAAACAAAAAATCCAAAAGAGAAGGAAGAATTGTTAGACCTAGCTAGAAAAAACATTCTCAGATTTAAGGTAATGCTATTTGATTTACTTGGTATATGAACTTTCTCTTCTAATTGGTGGGTTGATTACTTGTTCTAAAATACTGACAGAAAAAATAAGAATATACTTTTCTTTAATTATAAGTAGTCATAGTTAAAAATATTAATGTAAATTAAATTTTATAACCAAATAATTCAATGTCAAATGACTTTTGGGGTGAAGATTTCCCATAAGTTATAAGGGAATATAGCTGCTGACATTAGCTGAAGAGCCCGCAGCAAAATACTCAATGACTGGAAAATAAATTTTTGATCATGAAAATTCCACTTTTCTTTTAAGAAAGTTAACTGAGATATGGTTTGTTCCAAAGAAAAAAAGAAAGCTTTCCTTAACCTTCAGTATACACGCACAGCGGGTTGTCATGTTTATTAACTTCTGCCTGTCTACAGTAAAGGAGCCAGAGTTTTTTAGCAATTTGGTATTAAACTAATTTCTGTTGAATCACATTTCATCAATATACTTTTCCTTCTAAAATCAGAATGCATTCCCTTGGTGGGGAAATGATATAAAAATATAAGAAATCCCTAGAAGTAAAAAGTGAGAATTATTTTCAACAAATAACTAATGATGTTAGAATAATATTAAACATTCTCTACATTTTAATACTAACACAGTTTACATAAAGGGTCAATAAATAAAAATAATAAAAGCAAAAATTAAAAATATAAAGTTTTATAGAACTCTAATCACACAGCACCAGCCTCATTGAATGTGACTTTTAAAATATAATTAAGGGATAATATAAATAAATCAATAAGTCATATATTTTTGTTTTCCTCTTTTATGTTTCCCCATCACAGAGAAAATTGGGTCTCAGCACCTTAGGCACCGGGAAACATGTGCATCTTCCTACTGCCTGGACCGAAATAACATACCTGGCTCAATGCAAAGGAGAAATTCAAGATGGTATGTGCTCTAACTAAACTCTTCCTAGTTACCCTAAGTGTTCTCTAGAGTAGCAATGAAGGCATAATTTGAGAACTTTAATATTTAGAAATTGTGCAGCATCCAAGAAAAATGTGCCTTTCTCTATCAAAATACCTGATAATGTTTCATTATGAAAGTTCCTTTTGTAATTTTGAATTAATGAATTTGCTCAACTTTTTAATTACAAAACTGTTTTAAAATCTTTTGCTCAGCATAGTCTTTATTGCTTTTTTCCTAAAGTTAGTAACTAATTAAAAAGTAATATAAAGTGTCATTTAGTGATTTTCAGTTACAATAGGGACTATGTTTTAGAGAAATTGATTCTGTATTCTATAATTCTTATTCCTAAAACATTATCCAAATGGCCGTTAGTTTTTCACTTATTTTATACAGCCATTTTACTCATTACCTTTACATTTATCACTTGTCATTTACGTCTCCTTTCAAACTACCCTCCAACCAATCTAAAAAAGAAATTAAAAACCATTATTTTTAAGGAAGTAAAATTGTTTCTATCATTATCCTAAATTTTATGTATGTGCCTTTTAAAATGAGTTTGTGGAGTGTTAATGTATGAGGTCAGTGAGTATTTCCCCATGTAAATTGGGTTTTGTAGTGCTGTCTGGGAGCTTTCAAGCAGTAGGGAGAGTAAGAACAATTTTGTATTTAACCAGCTTATATGGAGCTTTATCACAGTGCCATATACAACCTGACCTCTATTAAATGTTTAAATGATACAGAAGTAAATACTCCTGGCTTACCAGCAACCAGAAGCCACTTGATCTTTGTCAATTCAACCTCAGTTTTGGTCAGGTATCCTGCCGTCCTGTGATTGAGGAGAGGACTGGTCTTTCCCAGCCTCAGGGGGTGAATTGTCATCAGTGGAAACTAATCAAGGCAACATCCCTTTAACTGTCAGTGATTAGATCAAAGGAGTCACATGATCCAGTCTTGATCAAGAGATGGGAAGATGAGGCTGTTTGGAATACTTATTTTTGAATTGGTTTTGAAAAAGATATGCTTGGGAATAAGGCTCCTTTCCCTCCCTATGCTCCTCTTGATTCCTCTCTAAACGGCACAGTGAGAACAAAATGCCTGGTGCTTGTACAGTCATCAGTTGTCCCGCACATCAGGGCACCGAGAAGATGGAAACATGCAAGCAGAGGGCAGTTACGTTAGCCAGCCTTGGAGCCTTTCCTACTTTGATTTTGTTAAATTATAAACATACCTGTTTAGAAGACACTTTGTTGAGTTTTCTGTTACAGACAGCCAAAAGCTTTTAACTCACTGATACTGAACTCCACAATAATAATAATGATAATAAGCCCTAACTGTGATTTCCTCTTACCAGCTCCACAACTGAAATACCCTCCGTACAGTGTCCTGTCCGTACGGTTGTCTAGACATCCCTCATTCTGCTGGCCACCCTCCATGCAGCAGTGACAATTCTAAACTTTAAATAACTTCGAATGCCTTATGATTACACTTAAAAAGAACCCCGGCTTTATATTATGGACCACAAGGTTCCGAATGATCTGGCTCTTGGCTACTTCCCTACTGATTGATTATGCTCCAGTAATGCTGGTCTCCTTTCTGTCCCTGGAATGTGTTAGGGCTTTTCCTTTCTCAAATCTCTGCATTTACCATTCACTCTTCCTCAGATATTTACTGACAGATCATCAAAATCTTTGTAATGACTTGAGGTGCAATTTTCTTTAGGGCCTTAGCTCTATATTCTTCCTTGTTTTCTCTGCTTGATTTCCTACTGCTTTCTTTTGCAGCCCCACCTTTAGCACTGTTTTCTGTCATTCAGATCTGTCCTATTTCCCACATTCTTAAGTATATGACCTGGTGATCTGTTTTGTGTTGGCTGGAAAAGCTGGAGCTCCTTGGGCACTCCTCTCTCTCTCTCTCTCTCTCTCTCTCTCTCTCTCTCTCTCATCTCTAATCATCTCTGTCGCTATAGTCTTTCCAACTTGGTGACTTCGAAGTAGCTGGATTTCCTCCATGGCAGTTTAAGGTTCCAAATCTTATATTTTAAGAGAAAGATCCAGGTGGCAGCAGTATTGCTTTTTCTGGTCTCGCCTTGGAAGTCATGCAGTGTTATGCTTGCCACAGTAACAAGGCCTGATCAGGTTCAAAGGGAAGAGGACATAGGTTTTCACTTCTTAATGGGAAGAGTGTCAAAGAATTTATAAGTATTTTAAAACTATGGTTTTGTGACTGAGCAAATAGTTCATTGTAAGATTTAATTGTAGCATGAGACAAACATCATAATGTATAAATTATGGAGTTTCTACTTTTCGATTTTTCAGAAGCTTTAAATATGCTTTACATTTCCATGGACCATGCTTCCTTTGATTATGATCACCTACCTGCCTTGTTTTTTCTTGCGGAATCAGTTTTATATAGACTCTGCTGTGATGCATTCCTAAAGACATACTTGTACACAGTTGAAATAAAGCTAACAAAGGTATGTTTTAAATATTTTTAATGTGTTTTAAGTGCTACATGTACTATATGTAGCCACATGCCATCCATTTTAGGATCTAAATGTTCCATTTGGTTTTATTATAGAATATTCTCTTTCTTTGCAGTTTGTTTCAGTCTTCTGTAAATATGAGTAATTCATTGTTTGCTATCCAAAAAGGATAGTTTGAAAAAAAATACATCACCAACTATGTAAGAAAATAATATTAAATTAAAAATCCAGTTTATTTTTATATATGAGTATATATAGATTCTCTCCTATTTTAAGGATTTTAAAATGCCAATTTTCCATTTAAAAATGCCAACAGATAACCTTAAATGCTTGCTAGTTTTTTTTTAAATGTTCGCTCAATTTGAGATCAGTTGTTCTCTCAGTATTCCAAGTCATTTTAGAGTCATTGGACAAGAAATTATATCCAAGTATGTTCTGTTTTTTAATCTCCTGGACCAGATGTCATGTGGTTCTGCTCCCTTTGATGACAATGATTGCCTGCTGCAAAATTTATTATTACTCAAAGAAATTTAGCTTGACTGGTGTTTTTGTGATTTTATTGTAAAGAAAGAAAAGAAGGTTAGAAGAGAAGAGATGGAGAGAGAAGGAAAGAAGGAAGTAAAGAATAAAGGAAGGAAAGATGGGAGAGCAGAGAAAGAGAAATTGACAAGCAGAGATTCAGTGGAGGAGGCAAAGCTGGTGTTGTCAAGAGACAGAGAGAGTATGTAGACAAATGAGACATGAGTCAAGATTGCACAGGAAGTTCCTAAATTCCTTAGAGATAGAGAAAGAAAGATTTTTCAGTGAAAGTCTGGCCTTTCAGAATCTTATAAAAATGAAAGTTTTAAAAACCATTTTTCCAAGCATCGCTGTAACTAGAGAGAGCCTCTAAACCAGGCAAAACTCACGACCAAGGTGGGGTATACTGCAGTGACTACTCAAACTGATATGCTTCTCACATATTTTTCTTTTTCCCCAACATTAAATTTTAAAACATTAATATTTACTTCAATATCAGTCACTAATCCTTTGAAAAATCCTGAATTATTTTCTCATGACTAATCTCCCACTTCAGTCTCTTGGAGAAGCAGAGTGCTCCATCAAAGTGGTCTGTATAAGGAGATATCTTGGTCATGCCTTATAGACATTTTATTTCTATTTAAAGTCTATAAATGGTATATGTTTAGAAGTTATGGATAAGCTTACAAGTATTGATGATACATTCTCAAAATATATTTTATTGATATAAGTTTGTGATAAAAAAATATTTGGAAAATCACTGCTGTAATAGAAAGTTCAGGACTTTTGGTGTGATATGTGCAGTTCTGGGTTCAAAGTCTAGTAATGCCACTTACTTATTTAATAATTGTGGGTGAACCCTAAGACTGGGTAGAATAATTTTTAGATTTTTTTACATGTAGATTTAATAATTCTTTGCATTGTTACTAAGAGGATTTGGAAACACATATAGTTTGGTTGTGATATAGTGATAGTTATTGTTATTATTTGGGTCTCCATTATCTTATGACTTAGCAATTCAGGCTCTTCTGTTCTCTTTATTTCCACACATTGTGGGGGTTCTTTTGGTCACTTTCTGTGAAATTTTGCATATCATTTTGTTTCAAAGATATTCTATTTTCTGTAGTCTATGTGAAAATTTTTTTTACCTACATGTGTATTTTAAACTTCACAGAATTGAGTTGTTACATTTATGTAGCGATGACTTGTTTTTCATGAAGGAATAGGGATCTCAGTACCGAGTCCTGTGCACTGGAGGAATACTTCTCAAAACTACCTTAAGCAGTGCATTTCAAATTGTTTTGACTGAGACCTGTAGGAAGAAATATCTTTTGCATTGCAATCCAGCACACAATTCAATACACACTCATTTATATACTGAAACAAGGAACGGTGCAATGTATAAGATATTTTCTCTTTTATTTTATTTAACAATTCCCTCTCAATTGATTTCATGACTCACTTAAAGGGCATGGCTTGTAATTTGAAAAATATTGTTTGAAAGAACATAGAACAAAATATCATTTAGTATTTATCATTATATGTAATGTAGCGATGATTTATAAAAGTTTTTCTTGCTGAGCCAGTATTTCAACCTTGGTATAAATGTTTTAAAATTATTTCAAAAGCACAAAATCTCAAGAGTTTGAAATTGTTCCCTCAGAAGCAAATGTTATAAGAAAATGGTTTATTTTCTTTATGATTTTAAGGCATTTATTGATGCAACACAAAAATGCTTTTTTCTTTCTCTTTTGACAGATTGGTTCTTTGATCTTCTTAAGACTGTTTATATATTTCCTGTATGGTCACCTAGAAAATTTTAAACAACATTTACTTAGGCTTCAACAATATTTATATGGTAGACTATCTTTTATTTTCTATGCTTATAAATGTTTTATGTTATTATTTGCAAAGCTCAGACTATCACTTTAAAGAACATAAGCTGTATTTTATTTTTCATGAAAGGTAATAGGTACAGTATTGGAGAATACAGCTTCTGGACCAGATTGCATGGGTTTTACTTTTAACTTTTGAACTTAACTACTTCTGTCACCTTGTCTGACTCACAGGTAATAGTGAATTCAAAGGAGTTAAATTCAAATTTTAGATAGGTAACACTAGTGGCGATGGAGATGCTAGCTGGAGTAAAGAGGGTGGATGTGGAGGTCAGTTAGCTGTGACATCAGCATAGGCAAGAGATGTATAGTAGATGAACTATTAAAATGAGAATGGGATAGAGTATATTAACCTTGAAAATTCCTAAAGAAAAGACCCTGCTCTTGGTGATCTATTGGATCTAGGCCATATACAAGAGAAGGTGAGGGATTCAAGAGGAACCTTATGTTTTACATATTAATAGGTTCAAGATAATGGTGCTCTAAATTGAGAACATTTTGGAGAAACATTGGATAATCTGATTGGAACTAAAGAAATAAGTGAAGCCTGGGATTCACTTATTTCATGGATATTAATGAATGGATAAGTTGACAGTCTTCCATATTAACATGGCTGAGTCAACTTGAAGGTAGGAGTTGGTGAGGGATATAAGTTAATTCTAGGAAAAGAGTTTTGGAGAACATAAACATTGAATAGGTTATTACAGGAACAGACATCAATAAAAGAAAATTGCGGGAAATTAGAGAAAGTGATGGCATAGAAATCCAAAGGAGAGGGCAAGTTCAGGAAGATCAGCATTATCAAGAGGTGTAAAAGCATTAAATAGTTGGAGGACTGAGAGTAATGATGGGTTTCTGTAATCAGTAAGCCACTGTTGATCTTGGGAGCATCCTGAGTGGACAGGTGAAAGCAAAATTTAGATTGAATATAAATGAAGATTGAAGGGAAACTTTAAGCATAAGACAGACATGGCAAACTATTTCAAAAAGCTTGGCTATAAAGGGAAGGAGAAATATGTCAATAGTTTGGGTGAAAATAAACAAGGTCAAAAGAAGAGATTAGTATATTGTAGGATAAACGATGAAGAGACTCAAGATATAAGAAACAAAATCGTGTTTGTTGGAAAGTCCTGGAGGAGGGAACAGAAGGTCATGGTGGAAGTGTTTTGGAGACAAATGCAAGTTCTGGTAGGTGTGAAACCAAGACAAGGCCGTAGACTGGCAGAATAAGAATTCATGTCTATCATATTTCTCATTTTGATTTCATCATTATGTTAAAAATATTTTCCTTAATTCCATACAGTGTTCAGCATAGTGGCTTATCAAATATTTAGATGATGGTGGCAAGTAAATTTTGAAAGATTATTTGAATAAAAGTTGAAGTTTTCACTTTAGTCTGTTATTGTGGATATAACCCAAGAAAGCCAGCATCTTTGTTCCATATAAGGATAAGATTCCCAGATTTTTTTTCCTCTTATGGAATACTGTGAAATACAGCCTTACTTAAGCTACATCTCTGTCTTCAACAACAGTCTGACTCCAACAGAGGTTGTTAGCAGATGCTGCCTATCCATATAGTCATCTAGTAAAACATTGGTTATTACAATTTTTTACATGATGTCTAAGAACTGAAATGCCAAGATCGCCTGAAAGTATATTAAAGAAAGAACATGAAGATAGTTCTGTGAAATGTTACATAGTTTTATGTTAAATACATAATTGTTGCTATATTTAAAATATATACTTTAAAATTAATAACAACTTGAAAATAAATACAAATGGAGAATGCTGAGTTAAAAGCAATGATATTAATTTGTAGGATTATAATTTTAAAGTATTTATTATGGATATAATGTCTTTTATAACTTTATTTATTTTCAGCTGAAAGTGTCCAAGCATTGTTGTGCAGTAACTATACTTAACAGGGCAGTCAGCCATCATGCAATTGTTCTGAGCTTATATATACTTTTATGTATGAATTATTTACCTTGTAGTTTTCTATTAAACCACTAGGGGGCATACAATAACTTTATGAATCTTGAATAGATGGAAAAATGTACAGCAGTTCAACATTAAAGTACTGCATTTAATTATTTTTTAATAACTAAAAGACAAATGAAACACTATGCAATATATTAATGAAATATTTTTTATTCTTACAATAGCACTTTCTTTCTCTGGAGACTCATATTACAAGTATCCAAACATCTTTTCAAATGTGCAAATTATTCTGAAAACCATGGAAATTATATATGAAAGAGAATTTTTACCTGGATCATTTTCCAGCCCTGTGGCAAATGAGAAACAATATGAGAACATAGATTCTGATATGGTGAGTCTATCCTAGTGCATTATGAATCAAATTATGATTATTGTGATTCAATATTTGTGCTCACCAATTCAGTAAGCTATTCTGAAGATGAAGTTAGTGAGGAGGAGGGGAGTGAGAACAGCAAAGACACTAAATTCAGGAAACCATAAGAAGTAGTTAATAGGATTAGTAGTGGAGCATCAATATGCATCACTACTAATTTAAATAGATTAATGCCATAATACCTTATTCCTTATAGAATCCGTCTCAGCTGTTTAAACTGCAACATAATTTAGTTTGACTTATAAATGAGCATTTTAAGATATTACATTTTTATTAAAGGGGAAGTGTTTAAAGTGCAGGCTATTAATGAAAGCAAGTGTAATATTTTCATGTTTCCATAATTCATATGCAATAACATTTAACATGCTATTAAAATCAACTGAAAATATGAGTCAAAATTGAGGAATTAAAAGAATCCCTAGTATATGAAAAGTCTCATTTTAATTTGTAACTCAGATATTAGTCATTAACATCAGAGAAAACTATCTATCCCAATTACATAATTTCTAGGTAATAAACTGTTATGCAAATGTATTAGGCAAATAGAACTATAGTGAGCTATATAATTCTTCATACAATTTTTGGGCTGATGTACCTCAAATGGCACTTGTCAATCTCTGGGGTATATATGTATTTATTTCCTTTTCTTGCATATATTCCAAAAGAAAGCAATGAACACTGCAAGAACTTGATTCTTTTATTGTTTATTTTGTGTGGTATATACGTATCATTTATACCTTATAAATAGAAAATTTGTTTTTCTCTTTGATTTGTTTTTCTGAAAAGAAAATAATATATTTAACATAATGCAAGTTGGAGCAACTGCGAAAATGTAAGGAAGATTATTTTTTTAAATAGTTTTATCTAGAAGTTGCCTCATAGTTTCCCTGTGTTTCCATTGGCTCTTTCTAAAACTAACTAAAATTTAGTTCATAATATATTACTGGCCTACCTCAAAGAGCAAGAAAAATCTCAAACAATCTAACATTACACCTAAAAGAACTACTAAAAGAAAAACAAAAGCCCAAATAAGCAAAGGAAAGTATCTAATAAAGATTAGAGTGGAAATAAATGACATAGAGCCTAAACAATAAATAAAATAGATCAGTGAAACTAAGAGCCGGTTCTTTGAAAAGATAAACAAGATTGATGAACTTTTAATCAGACTCTTCAAAAGATAAATAAATAAAATAAAACAAAGGGGGCTTTAATAAATAAAATCAAGAATAAAAGAGGAGAAGTAACAACTGATTCCACAGTAATACAAGGGATAGTAAACAAATATTATGAACAACTACAAGACAATAAATTGGACAATCTGGAAAAAATAGATAAATTCCTAGAAACATACAACTTCCAAAACTGAGTCAGGAACAAGCAGATAATCTGACTAGACCAATGACAACTAATGCAATTGAAGCAGTAATCAAAAAACTTCCAACAAACAAAAGAGGTTCTGGACCAGATGGCTTCAGAGACAAATTTTACTAAACATTCAAAGAAGAACTAACACCTATCCTTCCCAATCTATTCCAAAAAATTCAAGAAGAAAGAAGACTTCCAAGATCTCACTTTGTATGTGTAAACTAATGAACAAAATAAACTGATGAACAAAATAGAAACAGAGGTATGCATTCATGGAACAAACTGTCAGGTATCAGAGGGTTTTGAGGGCTGGATGAAAGAAGGTGAAGGGACTAAGCAAACACACACACACACACACACACACACACACACACACACACACACGAGAGTGTAATGATGGCCTGAGTGAAAGGGGTATAGGGAAAGGTAAATGTGGGTAAAGGGGGGATAAATGGGGACGGAAAGAGCCTTTGCTTGGGGCGATGGGTACCGGATGCAGGATGCAGATGACGTTGAGTTGTATACATGAAACTTGTATGGCTTTGTGAACAAATGTCACCCCAACAAACTCAATGAAAATACACTGAAATATAATAAAACTAAAATTTAAGTCTATAAGGAAAAACTTTTTAATAACATCTGTTTTTAATCTTACTAGGCTTTAGTGTTTTCTTTTTGACTTATTACTTGGTGAAGCATTTGTATAAAGAGTGACATACACTGAGTAATTTGAACTTTTGGTTACGAATTACTAATTACCAATGAACACAATTTGCTGCCTGCAGCAAAGGGATCCTGTTTTTAAGTTTAAAAATATTTTAACAATAAATACTTCACCTAAGTTATCAAGCAACAGAAAGAGCCCCGATCACGAAGAGGAAAACCCGCTCAGCAACTGGCTATGTGATCCAGAGGAGGTCTGTTGAGCTCTCTAAATCCAATTTGCATATCTCTAAAAAAGGCATCGTCTCACAATGTATTCAAATGTTAAATCCCAGTGTTAAACACCTGAAACTGACATAACTAATATAATATTGTATGCCAACTATACTTAAAAAATGATGTATGCAACATTCTTAACCTACTCTGAGTTGCTTAACAATAAATAACGTTTATTTTTGAGACAAGTTATTAAGAAGTAAAAATGATTTTTATTACTGAACCTTCCAAAAAAAAAAGGACATCACCATCACTGTTGTCGCCATCATCATCATCATCATCATCATATTTTCCTCACTTATATATAGGGTTGTGTGTGAAGACTTCAAAAAAAGCATGTGGCTTGTAAATTATTAAGTGCCATGCAAATGTAAGTAATGATTATTGAAAAATATATTTAGGAACTCTAACTTAGGCAGATAAATATAATAATTTTCATGTAAGGACATGATTATGCTGACTAAATGATTGCGCTTAACTATGTGGTTAATTGTGCTTAACTTAATGTGGTGATGTGAGTGTTTTTCCTTGAAACAAATAGGGTGCTCTGGGATCTTCATGACATGAGCATTGTGGTTATGGGGCAGGCGACCTTCAGTGTTGATTCTGCTTCTCTAAGAATCAGTCTGTTGCACTCTTGGTGCACATACACAGCAAGGAAATGGAAGCTTACTGCTGTAGAGCGTGGCTTGAACTTGAAGGGGCAAAAATGTCAACACATGAAAGGAATGTATCTCCTTAAAGTAGTACAAGTCCCCAGGTTTCTGTGTCATTTTTCACTTTTTAGAACTAAGAGCATATTTTCAATCTTTTCTAACCTCTCTGTCAGCTCTATAGATGTAAGTCTGTGAAGATATTATAACATATTTTAGCCTAACAGATTTATTGCTCTCCTTTTTCTCCTCCCATTACCTCATAACATAAAGAAAATAAAACATAGTGGAGTCATAGTGCTGCTAAAATTGCTGGTTGAGCAAACTGATTCAGTGCTTGATTGCATATTTTAGTGTGCTCCAGCTTCAGCCCATCTTCTCCAGCATTAATCTAAACCAGCCCCTCCAGTTCAGCTGAGTATATATTCATTCAATACTGCTCTCTCCAGAGAGAAGAAAGGGGAAAAGAGAGAGAAAAACAGAAATATAAAGGATACATTGGTATTCATTCCCTCTCCTGTCTTTATTCTTATTATGCTATAGTAGAGGATTTGTTGATTTATTTCTACAGCCCTTACTTATCCTTTAATAATGCTAAAAGTTCCATGACAGCATATTTTGGCCACTGTAAATATTTTATTTTTAATATATTTATAAGCATTGGAGTTGAAGCATAATTATTTAATTTGTTTTCAAAATGTAACTATAAAGTAGCTGGAAAAAAAGGATTCTATAGGATATACACACACAGGATATTCACAAAATGGTTGTTGATTCTATTTAAGAATAGGACATTTCCTTTCCCTGCTTCTAAACCCATTTCTCCTTTTAATATCCTTTTAAGCTGATCCAGACACACGGTTTCCATTGACTTTGACAAATGATACACTTTAATTAGCTCTGTGGATTGCAGAATCAGACCACTGGATTGAGTTTTCACTCTGTCCTTTGCTTACTAGCAGAGATGGATTTACCAGTTGTCACATGATAATAACATAGTTCTTTGAAGAAAGTAGGTTCAGACTCAGCTAAAATGCTATAGGCTCTGTACACATTAGTTGTAGCTGTCCTGAAGTACAAATAGTTTTCTGAAAACGAGGAAACTGTGTTAACATTAAAATGCGATTTGCAATCTCATCTTCTTATGCTTTAAGTAATTGGTATGCCTAAGGCATTATCTAAATTTGGGACATTTTGTGCTGTACTGTAATTGTAAATGGTTACTAGGAATTGGGTTAGACTGAGACACGGGTTCTTTAAAATTAGGAGCATTAGCCTATGATTCATCTCCTATTATCCAAGCAACACATGTATTGTGAGGTCTTTTCATGGCAATGCCAACCATCCCCAAAATGACTAAGAACAAGGATGACACTCAAAAAGCTGTCTCTGAGCAGCCAAAACGGAGCCCATGCTTTCAAGCTCATTTCTGTTATGAAAGAGCCCTTGGTCAGACACTCAGAGCTTGTGTACTCAAATTTCCATAAAATTCAAGCATATTGGTCATTGGAATTTTCAGCCAACAGAAGGTTAACGATTTTCTTTAGGTGGAGTCCTAAAGTAGGCGCTGTACAAGCTGACACTGTTGGAGGAGGTAATCTAAAGCAGGGTCCCCATCCTTTTCGGCACCAGGAACCAGTTTTGTGGAAGACAATTTTTCCACGGACCCAGGGTTGGGGATGATTCAAGTGCATTACATGCAAGCTCATCTTTTGTTGTGTGGCCCAGTTCCCAACAGGCCCCGGGGACAGCTCTTCTAGAGTGCTTGACCTCCTTTTGACCCTTGAGCTAGCCCTGGGCAATCAGGGCTTCTCACCCCCTCCCCCCCCCCCCGTCCTTGGAAAGTGTGTTCTGCTCACCATTCCCACAGTGGGGACCTTAGTCCAGGATGTGACCTTGACAAAGCAATGTGTTGGTGAGACCTTCTGTACTTGACTGAGCCCAGTTAAGGCCTCTGTAAACTTTAAGATTCTGGAGTGTGGATATGAGATACTCTTCTTGTGGCCATTCAAAACCAGTCCGGTAAGTTGCCTTGCATATTAAACCTGCCACCTCCAACCTGGAGTGGTCTCCCTCTTTCTTAGGCCTCTCCTGTGCTCCATGCACAACCAACATGGCCCAAATCTGGACAGGACAGCAAGGGGGGAGATGAGAGAACTATAGGAAGTGGTCATAAGCCAAAAAATGGAAAGGAAGGGAGGGGGGAAGGGAGAGAGGGAGGGAAGGGTGGAAAAGCAAAAGTTCTCTGGAAGTCATTTAGTGCAGGGCTCAGTGCTCTTCAATCTACCTGGGGTAAAAGATCTCAAGATTTTTTGTTTGTTTGTTTTTTACCAAGAATAAAAATACATAGCATTATATTTTATTAGACAAAATATATAAAATTGACTCTGTCAACAGTATTCTCAATGCACATTCTTTTTTTCTGTTCTCTAGTTAACAGTTTGCAGATGGCACTTACCTGCTAACCACATCCTGAGTGGGGTTGATTTCCTGTAAAGGCAAAGAACTCCACACCACCTAATAGCTTTGTCTCTTACACTGATGATGTACCTGATGATTGTATTAAATCACATAATCATCATTATTATATGCATTTATTCAAATGTGGCAAATACATTTTTTTTTCTTTTGAAAAAAGCAAGGAAGAAACTTCAGCAAGATTTCCAAGCAAATGCTTAAAATATAAAACATACGAGGCTAAATCAGCCTCATTTATATGGAAAATTCACCAGTGTAGCAAATTCATCATTTGTATTTGATGATGACAATGCTCTGCAGCCAAAGACCACCAGGACCGCACCTCCATTTAAGCAAAGTGGGTTTATCGTTTGTTGTGGAAAGAGAACACATGCCCAAGGAACCATAGGATATCTTAGTAAGAGGATATAAGAATGAATCTATTGCAGGATTTGGGCTTTGTGTGGTGACTCAGGGAGGCTATAAAGAAACAGGGATTCTTTCTAGGTTTGATGCTGCCAAAAATGGGGACAGTTCTGTGTTTGGGTATTTTGTAGCTTGGTGCGGTAACTTTTTGTCTATGCTTAGAAAAACATTACCAAGTAGCTTTGTTTATTTATCGTGGTCTCAGGGTACTGTTGTCTGAGGTTGACATTCTGTGAGTTTTTATCCAACAGGAGAACAAAATGACCTGGTTGTAAGCATCAGAGCAGCTTGTAATAATATTGATGTCAAATCAGTTCCAGACATCAGAGGCTGCTTTTATCTTTCTCAATGATGCATAAAAATGGCATCATATAAAACTGAAAATTAAACTTAAATCTTGTTTATCATCCAAAATCTTTAGGTTTTTCTTTACCAAATGCTTTTGGGAATTTTCGCTGGTGATGGTGCATAAGTTTGTTAACAAGAACCTTTACCTAACTGTAGCTATGCAGTCAGTATATGTTATGAGAAAAAAAAAATAGTGTTGATTGTTTTAAATTGTCAGGCCAACCACAAGTTGCAACATGAGGCCATCAGGCATCTAGGCTGAGACATCTAGAGCAATTTGAGAAAAGAATTTCATTTTTATGGGTTCTATTTTTTTTGTGTGGGCTCAACCGTAAAGCAGAAGATTGAGTTATTTGGATAAAATATACGCATTTATTGAAGTCAGTACATCTCCATCTGATGTCTTACATTATTTTAAAGTAAAGCTTTTCTATGGAATATTCTAACATTCTAAACAATGACTTACTGCCATTTGCTTCTCTGAATGATTGTTCCCCAGAGTCAATGCTGTGTGCAAAGACTTTACCTCATTCAGGCCCGTGTTTCCACTGCTGACTCCTTGACATGCAGCAGATCAGCACACATCTGCAGAACTTAAGTAAACAGCTTATGAGAAACTTAAAGTGTTTTAGCTTAAAATTAATGTATAAACTATTGGCCTTCTACCTTAACAGAACACAGGATGAAATTTTTCTTTAAATTGCAGTCCTGGCGTTGTTTTATGTGACACGTGAAAATTACAAAGTCCTTTGGAGTCTCTTTAAGTGTTACTTTTGAGCATCAAAGAATAAAATGTCAGCTAAGTTAGCAATTTGAGCACATATTACAGGAAGTGTATTTGAATCTTTACTGTTGACAAAAATTCAGTGAGAGTGCTATGTTATTATGGTCTAACAATAAAATCAGATTTCTTTATGCCAATTACTTTAGTAGCCCAATTCAATTTATAAAACTGTTAGAAAGCGCTGTGAGAAAACAACAAACTAATAACAGCCCATTTGTTTTCTGAATTTGTAGGCTTTTCAGATATTATGCAGACACTGACCGTGTCCAGCTAGGCATGCATTTTGGTCCATAAAGTGGAAATCCACATTTTAAAACCTAACTTTTTGTTTGAGCATTGTTCAAACTTTTCCCTGTGCCCTCCTTCTTGGGTGTCATGGAGATATAAGTCATGTAGATTCCAAGAAGCACAATTGTGTCTACTAGTTTTTCTTTAAAGAATAGATGCTTTTTGTTATCTTATAGAAACCGACGTCTTTGAACACTATGGTCCCTTGTGAAAATATATTAAGACCTTAAGTTCAAGTTAACTTACAAAGTGTGTGTGTATATAAATATTTAAAAAAAAGATATTTGAGTAAATTGCTCCACTTGGCAAAACATGAAGTGTAAGAAATATGCATTCTCACTTGTGTATATAAAGTTTATTTTTATGTTTATTCAAGTCAAAGAACTCTTTTCCAGCTATATCTTTCTATATTAATTCCAGAAACATTTGCAACTCAATCAGGAGGGATATGAAATTAACAACCTGCTCTGGCATTGTGTTGCTGCCTGGGTTTGTGTTCAGAAGAAGAGTCCTCAGCTGAATAAGGTGCTTGAACATCTCATCTTTCACAAAACACAGCTTCAAACGAAATGCTGGTAAGAGGGGTCCTATAAATCCAAAGTAACTCATGGAGAAACCTTTGTATTTAAATGTTAAATAACCTTTGTACTTAAATGTTAATCACACCTTAGTTGACTATAAAAAAAATTTATAATACCAGTTCCAAAGGCAAGGGCAATTTATATATTTTGTATTAGTTCACTTCATCAATAAATTTTTCCTTTTTGGTTAGATGAACATGCCTGTATTATATAGTTTATCTTTATTAAATGAAATTTATTATTAATAATTTCATTCCCATATTTAAATCATTTTTTAGTCTTCAACTTATTAACAACAATGAGATACAGTTTATTATTTTGAGGGAGAATATACTAAGATTGTTTCATTATGCCTTACTTGTAATACATAACAAAAATAAACTTTGATTGATAAGTGTTAGTTTCCTCCTACACAAATGTTACTTTGAGAAGGGAAAAAGAAATCTTAAATTATTACAAAAGGCTGCATGGACTCAATGAAAAATTTTAAAGGAGTATTTTTGAGGAAATTGATCAGAGATACCCCTTTCTGATATTTGAGGTGGATCAGAATTACTTTTCCAATGCTAACAATAATAATAATCTGTTTGCCATAGCAAGTTGCAAATTCAATTGTCATATATATTTCTTAAAATTAATTTCAGTGTTTAAGCCTCTGGCAGCCCACTCTGCACCAATGGTCTCTGAATATGTAAATTATAAGAATCAGGAGCATTCCTTATGATCCAGAGCTGTTTTCCCAGTTTCATTTGGAAGCATTGGGGAATCTAGGTCAAGTAGAGATTTCTGGAAGATGGCTAGAGTTTGCCTAATTTCCTAGATATAGTCTAGTTTACATGAGAGTTCTTCAAAAACTTATTCTGTTTCACAGTCTGATGGGAGCAACCTACTCAGTATTGCTGTTAACAAAGATCATGATTCTTTGACATTTTAAACGTGAGGATAGCTTCTTTAAATAGGAAAATCAAAATGCAAATAGGCTCTATCTGTTTTAGCAATAATATAGACTATAATTTTAATAATACACTTATAATAGAGTTTTATTAATTTATTAATATAGAGCAGCTAAATATAAGAAAAATTAGAGAGCTTTATTTGGTGCAAATTAGGCTGTTCTGAAAGCTGTGGTGATTCTTTTAGACCACTCTATTACAGAAAATAAATTATAGGGGGTTCAAACACACAATTTAGTTTTCAAAGGACAAACAACTAGAGCTATTTTAGGTCTTAGAAGACTCTAACTTGGTTTTAAAAATATCAGAAATTATATTTTACCATATAAAAATCAATATTGCATGACTTTGCCAAATTTACTTTCAAGGTGTTCTAATAATTTGTAAGTAAACAGGTTCAAGTATTGCTGAAATACTAAAAGTAGCTGATTAAGGATGTCTGATTTTAAAAGTCAAGGGATGGTTTCTTCAGCCAATTTTCAGTTTTTTTGTATTGCATCAACATTGATCTAATTTACTTTGTTAATAATTTGTCTTTAAGGTAGTTATTTTTTTATACTAAGTATTTTATAGATTTGGATGTGTTTGGGATAATACAACACTTTTTACATTACAAATGAAGGAGCTGAGGCCAAGTTTATTAGGCTCACTAGCAACTGGCACCAGATTTTAAGGGTCCCAGTGTAGCGCTCTTCTCAGTACATCATCCTACGGTCATTCTGCCTGCATTATTACGGAGATAACTGCTCTGAGGCACCTTGTCGCTCGCTGAACCTTGACTTCTCTTTTTCTGGGGGGGGATCGTGGGAATCAGCTGAGGGAGGTGTTTCCCTCACGGTGGTGTTTTGTCAGGGCTGAATGAGCAGAAGGGTAAGTTGAAAAACTTATGATGTGCTGACTGTTTATAATGGAAGGAACAAGATAATTGTTTTAAAAAGCACCGGCAGCTAGTTTTGGTTCTATTTTCTTTTTTTAAAAAAATGATTTAATATTTTCTTAAAAAACAGATAACCCTAGAAACAAAAATAGCCCACTGACATTTGAAGATTAACATCTATTTAAGTTAGCAATTTGACTAAATTTTTCTGTTAGTTATAATAATATTAAAATATTAAAAATAACTTTTCTTCTTACACAGTATTTAAGGTATTTATGTAACAGCCTATACTGCTTTCAAGAAGTCATTATTCTAGATAGAACAAAACAAACTGTGATGTAATTATCAAAAACAAACCAAAAATGCTTTTATGTGGTCTCATGTACTCCTGAGATTGAGTATGTGTGAAAACTTAAGAAAGTGAACTGAATGTATTTAGAATAAAATAGAAATATTGGGGCATCAGGCCTTGATAGTAAATTAAGACTTTGTCAGGACTTGCCAGACCAGGTAGTCTTAGAATTGTGATCCTTGGTAGAAGACATCTTTAGTTTAGTACCTGAAATTCAAGACCAAGTAAGTGTTAACAGGAACAATTCTATTTTTACATGAATATCAGTAAAGTACCATAACAATGAATAAATGTTCAGAGATTTAAAATGCAGAGGGAGACCATTCAACTGATTGATCAGATGAAATTTTATTAATATTGGCAAAAATAGCTGGTGTCCATACAGGTGAGTGCCTCTCATCTGCTCATTTCTGATGCTATCCATCAGCAGTTAATTCATGTGTAAGCCTGCCAGACTTTTTTTAACCCCCTTAATAAATATCAAACAGTACAAAAAGAAAGAAACGGAAGCATGTGGTTTCAGCTGAGCCTGAAAAAGAGCAGGCCCAGGATCCATAAAATGACTCAAAGAAGGACTCACAATGAGAGCAAACTTTGTCCTCTGGGGGGTAGTGGGGGTGGGGGAACAAGGAAAAAAAATGCACTGAAGACAAATTATAAAACAGAGTGAAGAAACAGAGAAAAAGAGAATACATAAGCCCCTCCCAGCAGCCATGCACCAGCCTTTATCTTGGAAGTCGAGCTGCTCTGAGCCACAGATAAGCAGTTTGCTGAAAGGCAGATTTCTATTTAGTACAGTTAAATTTTATATGATGCTTCACACTCTGAATGCTCCACCTTGTGGTTTGGCCTTTTATTAACTACCCTATTTGCTCTGGGGAGATAGCTCAAGCTGCGCAAAATCTAACGTGAATATAATGAATTGTGTTTACAATTGAATTATTAGCCAGTGAAGACTGCTGAGAAATGTGGTATGGCATTTCAGTAAGCGGTATAACATAAAATTATATCTCCCAGAGCAAAATAGCCGATTTCATGCACTCCATGAATGTTCTCCAAAAAAGCCTGACAATTTAAAATTATATTGACATAGCTAGTGTTTTTCAGACATACAGCATTTGTGTTTTCATCGAAATGAATGGAACAAAGAATCAGCTGCTTTGCATGGGTAGCAAGGCCTTTACTTATGTCTAGATTACTGATATCCCCATTGTTTATTTGCATGAACCTCAGTAATTATTATGTTTATATGACAGTCCAACCAACACCATTCAAACAACATTTTCATTAATAATATTTCTCATTATTCATGAGCTGAGATGGAATATTAATGTAGGTCTTCACTCCTCTGATTCATTTTCTGGATTTTTTTTTTTAATCCTTATCAGAGGATATTTTTTATTGATATGAGAGAGAGAGAGAAACATCGATGTGAGAGAGAAACATCGATTGGTTAACTCCCTCCTGTACCTGCTCCTATCTGGGATCAAACCCACAACCTAGGTATGTGCCTTAACTAGGAGTGGAACTCACACCATTTTGGTGTATGCGACATTGCTCCAGCTTCCTGAGACATCCAGTCAGGACTATTTCCTGGATTTCTAATTGATTTAGCTCAGAGAATTTCTGATCCTCTGAGCTAAATATAAACATTTAGTCTATACCAAGGGTAAATACATCAATTATACTTTGAGGTATTATAGCGCACTGGAAAAAAAAATTCAACCTCACATCAGAAGACCTGAGTTTTAGTTCTGTGTCTTGCTGCCTAATTTCAAATGAGTCACTTAACCCCTATGAACAGCCTGTTTAGCAGTTAGAGATAGTAGTTACCCCCAACAGTTTTTGAGATATTCAAATAATATGAAAACGCTTTTAATACATTCATGCTCCCCTAGTATTTCATTTCCTGCTAGTTCAGATCTGAACTAGTTTTTTCCAGACAGAGTCGTGCCTACTGAATTTCTCTCTCAGTACCTGACGCATGTCCTCTGCTCACGCTAACCAAATTAGAGAGCTTAACTACTACATTTCAGAACTGTTCCCCTGCTCTCTACTTCCACTGTCGCAATCTTGGCTTGAGCCATTATTGTCTCATGAATCTTGTACAATAACTTATTAACTGGTTTTTTTGCCTTAAGTCTTCTCCTCCATAATCTATCCTACTCTGCTGTCAGGACTACAACATAAATGTGATTATACCATTGTCCTGCTCGAAATTATTTAGTAAGAACTGTTTTTACATGGCACAGGGGTCGCAGCTCCAATTAGGATCTCATAATTTGCCATGATTTAAAAAAGAAAAAAAAAAGCCCTAGTCAAGTGCTCAGTTGGTTGGAGCATTGCCCGGTGCACCAAAAGGTTGTGGGTTTCATTCCTAGGTTGGGAGTTCGATCCCTGGTTGGGGCTTGTAAAGGAGGCAACTGATCAATGTTTCTCTCTCATCGATGTTTTTTTTTCTCTCTCTCTTCCTCTTTCTAAAAATCAGTAAACATGTCTTCGGGAGAGGATAATAAAAAGAAGAGGGAAAACAAAGACTAAAAGATCCTGATACTGTAATTAATGACCACCAGCACAGAGAAGTGCCTGGTAGGTCTGAATGGAAGAGAACAACCAGTGGCCCACTTCTGCCTTCTCTGATGAGAGAGCAGACGTTGCCTGTTTACGCCCAACCCCTTCATTGTTTTCCCTGGAGCTTCAAGAGTGAAATTCTGTAAGCAGGAGAAAGAACCCTTTGAGCAGACATGGTAAAATTAGCTTTTCCTATAGTCCATCCTTCTTGAGTTTCAAACATCAGACAATGGCAAGATAA